TATCAAAATGAAAATCTAAAACTCCAGTTTACACTTGACTTGAGCACTGTACAAGTCAACCTTAAAAAATATGTATTTAAAATAAATATCCACTTTAAACAAATGACTAAAATAACTACTACACTATGTAATCAAATCCAAATGTTCAAGTGCTGCTATTCTTGCTTTGAATTCAGCTCCATTTCAATCTACTGATGAATTTACTGTTGTTGAGGGATTACTTCATGCGCTTGATTCATCCTGTCTGGCTGCTTTGGATATTGTCGCTCCATTAAAATCAAGGCGAAATACATCCCGACCTGACCCATGGCTGAACGAGCAAACTCGTTCCATGAGACAACATGCCAGAAGACTGGAACGTAAATGGATAAAAGACAGGCTTACTGTATCCTTTGAATCCATGAGAGAGGCGTGGTCTCAGTACCAAAGAGCAGTCAGAGGCGCAAGAAATCGATTTTTTGCAAGCATCGTAATGGCTAATTCTAATAATCAAGGTATGTTATATAAAACTATGAATGCAGTGCTTTCACCAGTTACAAAACTATTTTCCTCTGCGTCTGCTGACTTGTGTAACCAAATCCTGCAGTTTTTCTTAAATAAGATTAGTGCAATCAGAGCTCAGATTCACCAAACCAACCATGTTCCTGATTCAGTCATTCCCCCTCATGTGCAACTTCAAAGCTTTCAGCCCATCTCTCTGCCCTATCTAGAAAAAACTGTTGCTGCCATGAAACCGTCTGGCTCCCCAGAAGATGTTATCCCACCTCGTCTCCTGAAAGAGGTTTTTCCTTTCATTAGCCATAATGTGCTAGACATCTTAAATAGTAGCTTGACATTGGCTGAAGTTCCCTCTGCCTTTAAACACGCCGTTCTTCAGCCAATCTTGAAAAAACCTGGTCTCGACCCCACTGATTACTCTAATCTCCGACCAATTTCCAAATTACCGTTTTTATCTAAGGTCCTTGAGAAAATAGTGTATGAACAGATGCTGACACATCTAAATGACAATCAGGTAATGGACATTTTTCAATCTGGTTTCAGAAAACAGCACAGCACTGAAACTGCTCATGTTCGGGTGTTTAATGACATTTTTCTCGCTTTAGATTCAGGTTTCCATGTGGTTCTGCTACTTTTGGATCTATCAGCAGCATTTGACACGATCGATCATAACATCTTGATCACCAGACTTCAGACTTGGGCTGGCATTTCTGGTTCAGCCCTAGATTGGTTCAGGTCATACTTTTATAACAGGTCCGCTAGAGTCATGTTGGATGGCTGTTCATCCGAGTCACAACCACTCCGTTGGGGTGTCCCACAAGGTTCAATACTCGGCCCGTTACTATTTAACCTCTATATACTGCCCTTAGGAGCCATTTTCAGAAGGCACGCTGTCTCATACCATCTTTACGCTGATGACTGTCAGATCTACTTTTCATTCAAGCCAACTCAATCAATGCAAGTTCTGTCTGATTGTATCGATAATGTTAAGCTTTGGCTTGCTGATAACTTCCTCCATCTGAATGACTCCAAAACAGAAGTAATCGTTTTTAATCCTCACAGCATCCCGACTACTCATCTACCTGACCTCAACTATCTCTCACCTAATGTCTCCACTGTAATTTCCAACCTTGGAGTTAAAATAGACCAGGCTCTGAAGATGGATGCTCAGGTCAATAACACAGTTAAATCATGTTTTTACCACCTCAGGCGTATCTCTAAACTTAAGCACATCCTGAGTGTCCGTCTTCTCAAATCAGTAGTCCACACTTTCATCACTTCACGGCTGGATTACTCCAACTCCTGCTTATACGGCATCAGTAAAGCAGCTCAATCTAGACTTCAGCTAGTCCAGAATTCAGCAGCTAGGTTCCTGACTGGAGTTGACAGAAGACAGCACATTACACCAATTCTAAAATCTCTCCACTGGTTGCCCGTTCATCTCAGGATCAATTTCAAAATCATGCTTCTCACTTATAAATCCCTGAACAGTCAAGCTCCTCCATATCTGTGTCAACTCGTCCATTACTACAATCCGCCTCGTGCTCTCAGGTCTGAAGATAAGCTCCTCCTAGCTCTTCCAAACGCACGTCTGAAAAGCCGTGGAGAAAGGGCTTTCTCTGTCTGTGCTCCCAAGCTGTGGAATGCATTACCACTACTAGTGAGGCAAGCACCAACAATTAGCATTTTTAAATCTCGCATGAAAACTCACTACTTCAACCTTGCATATAATACATAGTCATGGACCACTTTCGACATCTGCATTCTTTCTACAATAGAATGAACTATAATTAACATCTGTATTACTGTGGTTCTTTCATATGTTTTTATCTGTTGTTTCACATTCCTTTTGTGTTTTTAGTGTTTTACGACTGTTAGTTCTAGTATTTTCTTGTTTTCATTTTTTTCTTATAAACTATGCTTTAAATGTCATTCTGTACGTGTTAATTAACTGTAATCTTTTAATGTACAGCGCCTTGTCTGGTTGTAATGCCATGTTGAATGCGCTTTATAAATAAAATGGTATGGTATGGTATGGTAAGTATAAATGGCATTGAATAAGTAAACAAATCCATGACAAGGAACTAATTGTATATTTCTCTTCATCATCAACAAATAAGATGCTTCATCCAGCAACAGGGTGTCCGTGACACGGTTTAAATGCTGGCAGAGGACGCTGCGGCTGCAGTATATAGTGACTCGTTGCATTCTCTCTCAACCAAAAGTCCTCACGTCATGCATTTAAGCTAAAATGCTAATGTTAACTTACCTTGCACTGGCTGTAGAGACGTGGGTGATCGTCACGCAGATGTGCCTTTAGATTCGAAGTGTTGCTGCCTTCTGCAGACACTTGTTTCCTGCACGTTCTGCAAACGGGATAGCCGTCTTCTATTAACTGTCCCTCAGCATTTTTCAGAAATCCCAAATATGCCCATACTTCCGATTTAGTCTTCTTTGAGGGCTGATGGATGTCCTGGGCGCTGCCGTCTCCTCCTTCGACCATTATTTCAGCTTCAAAGTTTTGGTGCCGTTGCAAATTAAAAAGTGCGTGTGGTGTGCGCGCAGCGGGAACTTCAGCTGAAGCGACGGTGGCTGGTAAGGGTCATCGCGCCGAAACCGCGTCCACGGTAAACCCACCGAGATAATTTAGTTTTTTAAAAACTGGACGGTTATTTTTATTGTCAACTTTTTTACCGGGGTTTACCGCTATACCGGTTACCGTGACAACCCTACTAGCTCCACACCCGCATGAGGAGAACATGCTAGCTCCACACATGCATGAGGAGAACATGCTAACTCCACACACACATGAGGAGAACATGCTAGCTCCACACATGCATGAGGAGAACATGCTAGCTCCACACATGCATGAGGAGAACATGCTAACTCCACACACGCATGAGGAGAACATGCTAGCTCCACACATGCATGAGGAGAACATGCTAGCTCCACACATGCATGAGGAGAACATGCTAGCTCCACACACGCATGAGGAGAACATGCTAGCTCCACACACGCATGAGGAGAACATGCTAGCTCCACACATGCATGAGGAGAACAGGGTGGCTCCACACCCGCATGAGGAGAACATGCTAGCTCCACACATGCATGAGGAGAACATGCTAGCTCCACACACGCATGAGGAGAACATGCTAGCTCCACACACGCATGAGGAGAACATGCTAGCTCTGTACATCTTTTGTACGTTCTTGCTGTGTTTGTCTTCAAATTCCATTTTTGGTTCTTTTTTAAACACAGAAAGGTTTTTTATTTACCTTGTTGACGTTTTGTTTGCGGCTGCAAAACTTCCTCAGAGCTGACGTTGATGGTGGCGTCACTTCCTACTCCGTTTATCTGCGAGCAGCAGAGGACGTTGTCGCCCTCTGCTGACCGCTCTCCCCTCTCCGATGATGCAGTCTCATGCACGGTCCAATGTGTAGAGCCCATCGTCTCTGTTCATGGTCCCACATCCACGTCTCCTTATCTCTATAGCTTCCTTCATCCATCTTTTGTATTTCTGTTATTTGGTGTTTATGATCCTTGTGTAATATATATATATATATATATATATATATATATATATATATATATATATATATATATATATATATATTTTAAAGAGGGCTGACTGCACATTGATTTATCTGGAGATTGTGAAAGCTTAGATCAGTGAGCATTTCGTCTGGAATGGAATGGGGCCCTGCATGACTGATGGGTCTCAGCTGCAGTGTAGTACACCATTTAGCCAGGTGGCGGCAGCATTTCATCACAGGCTCACACGTTTTAGGTTTTTCACTCTTCTTCACCTGATTCCTAAACCAGTGGGTTAACTGGTGTTCTGTATTAATGTCTGGTAAAAATCACACAGGTTTAACTGAAATATTAAGATCAAAATGTAAGAAATCAAAAGAAGCTACAATCAAAGGTATTATTTATTTATTTATTCAGACATTTATTTAAAAAAAGAGTAACCCAATGAGAAGCACCATGGAGGTCCTCCGGCAGATTAAAAGGTAGCCGTAAACATGGCCAGTATTTAAAAAATCTAAATAAATAATCGACAAACTGGAAACACCACACATATGTGGTGTATTTCTAAAACCAAACACAGTCACAGCGTGGCTTTGGACAGTATAGCAGCACAAAGGATGCTGACATGTTCTTTAACTCAACACAGGTGTGGTTTGACCATATAGACCCTGGGAGATAAGTTCAACACAGGTGTGGTTTGACCATAGTGGGTTCAATTTAACACATGTGTGGTTAGACCATAATGGGTTCAGTTTAACACAGGTGCGGTTTGACCATAATGGGTTCAGATCAACACAGGTGTGTGTTTGGACCCTGTGGGTTCAGTTGGTTCGGGTTCACCCTAACAAACATCATGTTAACATATGCAGGTGAAATATCAGTCCAACTCTCAGGTTCACTTGCACCTGTTTGAACCACCGGAGCTCAGAAACGGTTAAACGAGCCGAGGGGGGGGGGGGGGGGGGGGGGGGTTGTTTTGCTGCTGGCTCTTCACACGTGAGACAGAGGCGGAAGACGGAGCAGCCTCCCCGCCCGTCGGCCTTCACAGGCGGCTGAAGGTGACTCTCCTCTCGGCTGGGATGCAGAGGCAGCTGGCGGGGCTGCCATCGCTCCTGTTCCGGGGAATTACCGCAGACTCCGGCGGGGCCTAGACCGGTAACCGGAAAAATCCTCCTCCGAGCGGGTCTCTCCATTCCCACATCGTTAGTTTTATCCGTTCGGTGTTTGGTCGGAGTGGGGTCCGGTACCGGGGGTGCATGCATGTGTTCTGCACCGTACGGGCGGAAAAGGCGCCCCAAATCAGCCGCGAGCATTTTCCCCATAAGGGCGGAGCTGGAGCGGCGGGAGAGCGCGGAGGAAGCCGTGGACGGCAGCAGGATGGTGGGTAGCAGAGCCGGGGAGGCGGGCTGGTCTGAAGGACGGACTCAAGGTAAATCCGCATCTTTCTGTCTCTGCTCAGACCGTCCAGGAGTTCAACACCCTAGTGGCTCTGTACCGGGAGCAGGTCATTTCCGTGGGCGAGATCTCCGCAGACTGTCCGTCCCTGCGGGCGCTGATGCACCAGACCCGGACTAAAGGATGCTCCATGGCCCGGGCAGCCCACCGGGACCTGGCCGTCATCTCAGTCTCAGGGTAGGGCAGCGAGACCTCCAGCATCCGTTCTGCTGTCTGGGTCCCACCACCAGAGCTTAATGGTCTCGGCTTGTCCAACATAAAAGTTAGAGACTAAAATAAAGACGTGATGTTTTCACCTTTATTCAAACATCACGTTCAGTTCTGAAGTAAAACAAATAACGCGTGTTCTGACTTGTTGTTGTTGATGTTTGTGCGTTTGGCACACGCATTTATCCACACAGGTGAGAAGTGCCACGGCGCTAAAGACTGGGAAGCATGGGATCGAACCAGCAACCCCATCTCCTTTAATCAGATTAATACACAATAAACTATCATCATTTATTTCTTGTATTTAGCCAGGAATGTGCACCGATCCTGCTTAAGAGCCGATTCCGATTTGTCGTCAGGAATTCGCCCTCCATCTTTGTCCTCATCCTTCTTTCGCTCCACATTCCCGCTCCAGGCCCGAGGACGGAGAGATCCATCCAGAAATCTGCCGGCTCTTCATCCAGCTGCAGTGCTGCCTGGAGATGTTCATCATGGAGATGCTGAAGTCCATGTGCCTGCTGGGGGTGCTGCAGCTCCACAGAAAAAGTACACCAGCGTGCCCCAGAGACCCGAGACAAACACTGATGTCTTTGTTCTTTTATTATTGTTGTTAGATCACCTGTCCTAGAACAACCTCTATCAGACGACCTTCTGTAATCAAGGTCACCGTTAAAAAAACAACACCTAAAACAAACTAAATCTTATTTTATTTTAAAACAAATCTCTCTCTTAAATCCGTTATTTGTCTTGTTTTTGGTAACTTTTGTGCCTCCGTCCAACAGGGACGGACTCGGAGCCAAGGGTGGACTTCAGGGTGGACGAGAGCTCCGACGTTCCCATCCTGGAAGAACGATCTTCTTCTCCCATAGATTTTCCTCATGAGCAGTGGCTGGTGGGAACTGATATAGAAAACATAGAAAGGTAAAATCCTCGCCCGTGTATTTTTAACTTCTGTCTATTGGCGAACAATCTGCTGAGTCATGGTTTGTTTTTGACAGAGATATGAGAGAGATGAGAAACCTACTCAGCAAACTCAGGGAGACGATGCCATTGCCACTGAAAAATCAAGGTATTTTGTGCGTTCTGCCTTTAAAATAATTCCATTTAATTATAAAAAATATTCAGAGGGATTAAAAAGACGCCTGTTTTTGAGTCGATAAGCTTAAGATTAGCAGTGGGCTGTGTTCCCTTTCTGAAGACTCTGCTCCCTCTTGTTCTCTGAAATGTAACCAGGCACGACTCTTAATGGAATGCAGCCCGTTTATCAGATAGAACAGGAGTGGGTTTTGGACTCCGCGTGAAGCCATTTATGAAGCATAATGGTTTGAAACTAACAATGAGAATCATTTAGTCCGCGTTTTGATGTGATTTTAGGTGATTTGTGGCATTATGGAAGTGTGACGGCCAAAACATGTATAGAAATAATAAATGTCTTCTTCATACGTTCTCCTGCAATGCCCTGGTCCTGTAGAATGAGCCCTGGCATTTTTAATGTGATTGCCTGTTTTTCTGTAAAATCACAGAAAAAGAGAGATGCTCGGGTCGAGCAGGCTGCTTCATGCGCGTTCACGCTCAGGCATCGCCCGTAGCATTTGCTATCCGTAGCTTTAGCAGCAGAGAGAGAGGCAGTGCCACTTTGTCGCTGTTCCTAACGCCTAGTGACAAAGCTAGCTACATTTCTGAGGACCCTTAGCTACTTTCTGTAGAACTTTCTTCTAGATATTTCCTGCAAATTAGCAACAAAATAGCCATTTTCACTCCGAACCGTTCTTTGGTTTGACGTTGTTTCAGCTGTCATCAAGGATATAAAAGTTACAGATACTGTGAATGTTACTAGAGTGTAGCTCACAAGGGTTAGGGTTAGGGTTAGGGTGATGGCAGTACGCAGATCAGGGCGGGGCACATTTGACTCCGCCCACCGCGCCCCGCCCCGATCTGCGTACAGCAGTCAGGGGCTACTCACTCAGCATGTAGCAGGTATCTGAAACCGCAGCACCGTGCCTGTGTTAGAGCCTCCATTGTGTTTATCATGGACCTGTCTAATTCCTGGAGAACCTGCTTTTGACCTCTTCATATCAGACTCCGCACCGAGACATGAAGAATGACTCAGAAACAACAAAGACTGTCGAGTATCTCTGAACACGTTTAATTCACGAGTTTACAGCATCTTCTCCTCCGTGCTCACTCACGCGTGTTTTGGTGGTTCGGGCGCGCTCCACGCACGCTCCGGATCTGCCATAAAGTCCCGCCTCCGTTTGATTGACAGCAACAGGCAGACTTCTCCTCAGTTTCTTCTATAAGGTTGAAACTCGAAACGGGAAACTGTCAATAATGCGGGACTGTGCGGGACATCTGGTCACCGTAGCTCGCAGAACCCTTTCAACATGAAATTAACTGTTTTTTACTTGGGATTTACTGTTGTTTACTGGGATTAACTGTTGTCTACTGGGGATTAGTTGTTGTTTACTGGAGACTACCTGGTGTTTACTTGGATTAACTGTTGTTTACTGGAGATTACCTGGTGTTTACTGGGAATTGACTGTTGTTTACTGAGGATTATCTGTTGTTTACTGGAGATTAACTGGTGTTTACTGGGAATTGACTGTTGTTTACTGAGGATTAGCTGTTGTTTACTGGAGATTAACTGTTGTTTACTAGGGATTAGATGTTGATTACTGGGATTAACAGTTGTTTACTGGAGATTAATTTTTGTTTATTGGAGATTAACTGGTGTTTACTGGGAATTTACTGTTGTTTACTGGGGATTAGCTGTTGTTTATGGGGATTGGCTGTTTACTGGGGATTAACTGTTATTTACTGGGGATTAACTGTTATTTACTGAGGATTAGTTGTTGTTTACTGGAGATTAGCTTTTGTTTACTGGTGATTAGCTGTTGTTTACTGGAGATTAGCTGTTGTTTACTGAAGATTAGCTGTTGTTTACTGGAGATTAACTGGTGTTTACTGGAGATTAACTGTTGTTTACTGGGGATTAGATATTGATTACTGGGATTAACAGTTGTTTACTGGAGATTAATTTTTGTTTACTGGAGATTAACTGGTGTTTACTGGGAATTTACTGTTGCTTACTGAGGATTAACTGTTGTTTACTGGAGATTAACTGGTGTTTACTAGGGATTAGATGTTGATTACTGGGATTAACAGTTTACTGGAGATAAATTTTTGTTTACTGGAGATTAACTGGTGTTTACTGGGAATTTACTGTTGTTTACTGGGGATTAGCTGTTGTTTATGGGGATTGGCTGTTTACTGGGGATTAACTGTTATTTACTGGGGATTAGCTGCAGTTTACTGAGGATTAGTTGTTGTTTACTGGAGATTAGCTGTTGTTTACTGGTGATTAGCTGTTGTTTACTGGAGATTAGCTGTTGTTTACTGGGGATAAACTGATGTTTACTGGGGATAAACTGATGTTTACTGGGGATAAACTGATGTTTACTGGGGATTAGCTGTTGTTTACTGGGGATTAGCTGTTGTTTACTGGGGATTAGCTGTTGTTTACTAGAGATTAAATGGTGTTTACTGGGGATTAGCTGTTGTTTACTGGAGATTAACTGGTGTTTACTGGGATTAACTGGTGTTTCCTGGGGATTAGCTGTTGTTTCCTGGGGATTAGCTGTTGTTTACTGGAGATTAACTGTTGTTTCCTGGGATTAACTGTTGTTTCCTGGGGATTAGATGTTGTTTACTGGGGATTAGTTGTTGTTTCCTGGAGATTAACTGTTGTTTCCTGGAGATTAACTGTTGTTTCCTGGAGATTAACTGTTGTTTCCTGGAGATTAGCTGTTGTTTCCTGGGGATTAGCTGTTGTTTCCTGGGGATTAGCTGTTGTTTCCTGGGGATTAGCTGTTGTTTCCTGGGGATTAGCTGTTGTTTACTGGGGATTAGCTGTTGTTTACTGGAGATTGGTGTTTACTGGGGATTAGATGTTGTTTACAGGGGATAAACTGTTGTTTACTGGTGATTAACTGGTGTTTACTGGGGATTAGCTGTTGTTTACTAGAGATTAAATAGTGTTTACTGGGGATTAGCTGTTGTTTACTGGAGATTAACTGGTGTTTACTGGAGATTAACTGGTGTTTACTGGGGATTAACTGTTTACTGGAGATTAACTGTTTACTGGAGATTAACTGTTTACTGGAGATTAACTGGTGTTTACTGGGAATTAGCTGTTGTTTACTGGGAATTAGCTGTTGTTTACTGGATATTAACTGTTGTTTACTGGGGATTAACTGTTGTTTACTGGGGATTAACTGTTGTTTACTGGGGATTAACTGTTGTTTACTGGGGATTAACTGTTGTTTACTGGGGATAAACTGTTGTTTATTAGAGATTAACTGGTGTTTACTGGGGATTAGCTGTTGTTTACTGGAATTAACTGTTGTTTACAGGGGATAAACTGTTGTTTACTGGGGATAAACTGTTGTTTATTAGAGATTAACTGGTGTTTACTGGGATTAGCTGTTGTTTACTGGGATTAGCTGTTGTTTACTGGAATTAACTGTTGTTTACTGGGGATAAACTGTTGTTTACTGGGGATAAACTGTTGTTTACTGGGGATAAACTGTTGTTTACAGGGGATAAACTGTTGTTTACAGGGGATAAACTGTTGTTTACAGGGGATAAACTGTTGTTTACAGGGGATGAACTGTTGTTTACAGGGGATAAACTGCTGTTTACTGGGGATAAACTGCTGTTTACTGGGATTAACTGCTGTTTACTGGGATTAACTGCTGTTTACTGGGGATAAACTGTTGTTTACAGGGGATTAGCTGTTGTTTACTGGAGATTAACTGGTGTTTACTGGGATTAATTGTTGTTTACTGGGGATAAACTGTTGTTTACAGGGGATTAGCTGGTGTCTACTGGAGATTAACTGTTGTTTACTGGGGATTAGCTGTTGTTTACTGGAGATTAACTGGTGTTTACTGGGATTAATTGTTGTTTACAGGGGATGAACTGTTGTTTACTGGGGATTAGCTGTTGTTTACTAGAGATTTCGTTTCGTTTCGTTTTATTGAGATCCTCATTAGCTTCTGCCTAAGTGCAGATGCTAGTCTTCCTGGGGTCTCATACATTTTCATACAGTTGTTTACATGAGATAATACCCTTTACACACAAACACACACACACACATTCACGCACACACATCCCTAATTCCCATAATACCAGTAGCTCAAGATGAAATCACATATCTAGAACAAAATTACATACATAAACTGATATCGGGAAAGGAGTTAATCACACCAATAAAGATTGAAAATAAAATATAACAGAATGGTGACATCATGTCCATTGTTTCGTATCATAGTTCATCGATATCCAGTACTCGACCTCAAACACAGATTTTCAATCCTTCGTTGCAGAGTTCATAGTCACTATACAATTAAGTGTGTAAACAAAAAAATTTTCAGTTTCTTATGAAAAGAAATGTTATTACTTTCAAAAATTAAAAATCTAGGTAATGCATTCCATGCAAGCATAGCTTTATAGTGAAAAGATCGTTGAATTTGATTTGTTCTACTGCGTGGTAAAATACATTTCATCTCATTTATCTGTCGTGTATTATAAGTATGATTATCTGAAAAAAACATTAATTTGCTATGTATAATTTTTGGTGTTTTTGTAATTATTATTTTCCTCACAGTTGTTACCACGAAATACTTCAATCTACTCTTCACATCAAGCCAAGCAAGTTTTTCATGCATCGTTCCCACATTCGTTCTGTAAGGGCAGCCTAAAACAATACGAGCTGCTTTATTTTGTGCAACTTGTAGCTTATGCAAATTATTTTCACTTGTACTGGACCAAATAACAGATGCTTGATCTACACAAGAAAGCACTAATATTGAACAAGGCATTTAAGTAAATATTGTGGTATAAATTTGCAACAAAATTTAATTATGCCCATACCTCTCCCCATTTTGCGTAAAACATAATTAATCTGGCTTGTCCATGATAATTTACAATCAACTATAACTCCTAGTAATTTTACTTCTTCTAGTTGTTCTATTATGTTGTTACTCAGGGTTAAATGTAACTTTGGCATCGTCTGTAAAGTATGTTTGGAGCCAACTACCATGCATTTAGTTTTTCCTGCATTAATCACTAATTTGTTAGTAGTTATCCACTGCTCGACTGTTCTTAACTCTTCATTTAATATTTCATTCAATGCACTCTCCGTATGTGCTGAAGCTAAAACAGTAATATCATCTGCATATACTGCTGTAGTCGCATGTTGCAGCACCCACGGAAAATCATTCAAAAAAATAGAAAACAAAAGTGGTCCCAAAGAACTTCCCTGTGGAACACCACATTCCATCAGACCCTTTTCAGAAAAACTGCCATTGAAATAAAATTGATATTCTCTGTCAGTAAGATAACTTTTAGTCCAGTTAAGAGCAGATGTATGAAATCCATAGTGTTTAAGTTTTTGTAATAAAATATCATGATCTAAAACATCAAAAGCCGCACTTAAATCAAGAAATATAGAACCAATTAGCTTATTATTATCGATATTCTCTAAGCAATAATCAGTTATTTGAATAAGTGCAGTAGTGGTTGAGTGATTTGTTTTGTAAGCATGTTGATATTTTGTGTTCAATTCATTTACCTCAAAATAATCTTGAATTTGATCATATGCAATTTTTTCCATGATTTTACTTAACGCTGGTAGCAAACTTATTGGTCGACTGTTTTGACCAGACAGTGGTTCTCTATTGTTCTTAATTAAAGGTATTATTTTTGCTGTTTTCCATTGAGATGGGAAAATACCTTCTTTAAAACTTCCATTTATTATATGAACAATAGGACATGAAATAAAATCTACTACTAACTTGAACCATTTTATATCAATATTATCTATGCCAGATGGTTTATTTTTACTTTTTAATATTATCTCCTTAACCTTGTCTTCAGTCACTTTATCAAATTGAAATTGGCAGTTTTTATTTAACATTATTTTTTGTTTAATTAGTTGATAGGAAATATTTTTGGTTTGACTATTTTCCATAGAATCTCGTAACAACTTAATTTTATTAGTTAAAAACTGGTTTAAATAATTAGCAATTTCTGTTGGTTTAGTGAGATAAGTTCCCCCTACATCCAAAAAAGTTGGAGCTGACCTATTATGCCTACCCATCATTTCATTCAATGTACCTCATAATCTTGCACTATCCGATTTTGCATCAGTTAGTCTTTTTTGATAATACAACCGTTTTTTATGATTATTTAATTTAGTTACAAAGTTTCGTGATCTACGATACTCTTTCCATTTATCTGGACTATTAGTTTTTACTGCTTCATTTTTAAGTTTATCCCTCTGCCTCATATATTCTTTTAATTCTTCATCCAACCATGGAGCAGATACCCTTCTCACAGCACGTTTCCTTATAGGAGCATGTCTGTCTAACACCTTTGTGAACAATTCATTGAAAACTGCTACTGCTTGGCATGGATCATCTTCACTTAAAACCTGTGTCCAACTTATTTTCCTCACATCTTCTATGAAGTCATCTTCATTGAAATATTTAAACATCCGTCTGCACACAAATAATTGGCCTTTTTTAGGCATCTTTGTTTTCCTTGTTACCGCAATTAAATTATGGTCGCTACAGCCCACTGGAATCGAAATGGCTTTAGAACATAAATTTGTCATATTGGTAAAAATTAAGTCAATCAAAGTTGTAGAAAATTTGCCATTACTTTTCATTTGAATTCTAGTATCAGCATGCACGAGTTGTGATAAATTACAAATGTTGGTAAATGAAAACAATTTATTCCTCAATGGACAATTTCCTGATTTCCAGTCTATATTTAAGTCACCTAGGAAAAAAATTTCTTTTCTCAGATCACATGCCTTATCCAACATACCTCCTATCTGATCCAAGTGGTATATAGGAGCATTTGGTGGTCTGTAACAACATCCAATAATGACAGCTTTTAAATGAGGAATCTGCAATTCTAACCATAGTGTCTCAACTTCAGTTACCATGAAATCTGTTCTTACTCTAACTGGTATGTGATTTTGAACATAACAGGCCACACGTCCACCATACAAATTCCTATCTACTCTATAAATATTATAGCCCCTAACCTCTACTACTTCATTATTAATTGTGTCATCTAAATGTGTTTCTGATATTGCTAACACATGTAAATTATAATTTTGCAAAATTTCTTGAATATCCGCCACCTTATTTCTCAAACTGCACACATTCAAATGAGCTATTTTAAACCCCTTTTCCCGCAACCAAACATGATCTGTCATCCAAAATCTAGAATAAATTCCTGCCTGCAAAAATCATACTGAGCTTCCTGTAACATTTTTATAATTTTACCAAACACATTCATACTGTCATTCATCTCAAACTCAAACACTGTAATGAAATAAAACATTTTTACACACCAGCTCTAGACACATAAATAACCAAATTATATAACTCTTATTATGCGGGCTATCATTTCCATCTTGCGATGTTATTTAATACTTATATAAAAATTAAACATAATCCTCACATAACCTAAACCGTAATCTCACAGTCCATCTTCACACTCATTAAACCGTTTTTAATTGGTCCATATTATTCTCCATCTTTCTTCCCTGGTTCAATCACAGTCTTGTAGTAAGCTTCAGCCTCACTCGGTTCATTGAACCTTTTTGTCTCATTTTTAAAAGTCAGAATCAGGGTAGCGGGATGAATTAGGCCGTGTCTCACCTGAGCCTTCTTCAGCTTACTCCTTATTTCCCAGAAGCCAGCTCGTTTTTTCGCCATTTCACTGGTCAGATCTGGAAAAATCTTCAGCTTCATACCATGCAGTTGGAAAACACGTTCTTCTCTGGCTATCTTTATAATCTCCTCCTTTGTTGTAAGCCTCCGCAGCCGCACCATCATCGCTCTTCCTGCGTCCCTCCTAGGTCCAATCCAGTGCGCCATCTCCACTTCTGGCTCCCGCAGAAGTTTTCCTCTAAACAAATCTTTAAACAGCGTGTCCATATAAGTAGTCAGGTCGGTTTTTCCAATGTCACCAGATAATCCGAACACACGAAGGTTGTATTTGCGGCTCTGCATTTCAAGCCGCTCCGTCCTCTCTCTCAGCTCGGCGTTGGATTTGTTCAGCCTTGCATTCTCCAACTCCAACTTTGACATCCGACTGTCCAGTTTAGGTAAAGTCTCCTCCACATCACCCAGTCTTCTCACACAAGTAGAAATATCATCCATAATCGCGTTCAGTTTATTAACCACAACGCTGATCTCTTCCTTTATGACAGAGCGTATCAACTCCGATATTTCTTTTCTGTCACCATGCGCACCTGCCATGTCTCCTTGTCCCACGTACTGAAGCTCGTCGTCGTTTTCGTTTTGTTTGGATTGCTGCTTCACCTTCCTGGGGGGCATAATACTGCCAACTGCCACATATGTTGATTTCACCAACTAAAAAACATTTATCTCAATCCAGCACCACAATATTTGACAAATTTGTCAGAGCTTGGCGTTCACCTGTGCTCACCCGTGACTCATGGGCCTGTCTTGTTGTGTTTTTTTTAAACAGTTTAAATTAACTGGTGTTTACTGGGGATTAGCTGTTGTTTACTGGAATTAACTGTTGTTTACTGGGGATAAACTGTTGTTTACTGGGAATAAACTGTTGTTTACTGGGGATTAGCTGTTGTTTACTGGATTTTGGAGCCGCATCCAAATTAAGATGCTCCTTCTAAATCCTGGTGTTGGTACCAGACACTGGACCCTTTGTTCACCGGGATGACCGGAAATGAATGGCTGTGAAACAGGACGATCTGTCCACCAGGCCTGACCGTCGAACTGAGAGCGAATTTGTGGCCGTGGGCTAACATTTGTTTGTTTGTTTATTTGTTTGTTTGTTTTCAGACGACAGCAGCTTGTTAAATCTGACCCCCGACCCGCTGGTCCGACAGAGGAAGAGACGCTTCCCCGGACTCTGCTGCATGGTTTCAGGCTGAGAGCTCATCGGCACACAGGAAGTACGTTGATCTCACTTCCTGTCATCAGTTCATCTATCCTTCATGGTTGTTAAACGGTATCTGAAATTGTAATCCTGGAATATCTGGATTTTATTCCTTTTTTATTTCTAATCTTGATTTAGGCTTTTTAAGAGTTTAAATAAAGCAAATATCAGTTCTGCTGTAAAGTTCTCAGCAGGATTCAGGTTCACGTAGAAAAGACTCACTCGGTCTGTTTTGTTTTTAGTTTAAACATCTTCATTATTTTAGAAATGTCTCATGAAACCTTCAGTCTAATTAAAGCTAATAAGTGTAAATATTCAGGCTATGCACAGGCGTTTGTCCGACGCGTCGCCGTCCGTGTTTCTGCGCTAAACTTTGTGACGTGGCAGCATGTTCACCAACCATCGTCCACTTTAACGTGCATACGTGGCTCTTAGATGTAAGCACGACTCATGCAGCTAGAAAAATAAAAGATTCAGAGCTAATTCAGCAGAAAAAAGTAAAACCTCCAGATTTAATCTCAGTTTGAGGCTTGTTTTTAATGCTTGGATGTCGTCAGTGTTACTCAGAAATGTTTGCCTGGTTAAAAAGTTCAGTTGCACTTCAGAAAATTCATTTTCTGCATTAACAGCTGATGAGTTTCACCTTCTGCTCAAACCCAGTAACGGTGTAAAAACTGGAGGTTTGGCCGTCAGCAGACAGAGCATGTTCAGTTGAGTCAAAACTTAAAAGAGAAAGTAAACTTTTTTAAGGGAAAAGTCAAAAATGTGGCTGCTGTTTTTTATTTTGTGCTAAATGCACTTCCTGGACTTTTATTTTGAAATGATAACTCTTGTTTTTCCTCTCTGGCTCAAGTTTAACAAGCTGGTGAATATTTGTGTCTCCCAGCAGTTAAAAGGCTCTTTTCTGCTTGTTTTGGCAAAACAAAAACCAAACAGCTGTTGGGTTCTGGTTCTTCTGAATGTAGGTGCGGTGTAGTCTGTAAATAAACCACGTGTGTGTAGTTTTATGTTTCGGCTTGTGTTTGATGCGCGGTCATCCTGCAGAGTAGAGACAAACAGCTGATCTTGATTAGCTTCTGACATTTTATAACAAATAAAGTTTTATATGAAACTATCGATGTTTTTGTGTGTTTTTCTCAACATTTATTTTGTTTTTAAAAATTACACCATTGTTTCATTCTAGTTTTGCACCTGATGAAAAAGAGCAACCCCCCCCCCCCTATTTTTTTTGCGTAGCGTTAGCATGGGCAGAGCATGGTAATCACGGCGTTTCATCATCAAGCAAAGAGAAAATGTTACAGGTGCGTTCTCTCAGGATCTGACTCACCCAGGCTCGCTGTGCTCTGATTGAGATTTTGATTCTCCGTTAATTTGGGTGATCGAAGAAAGAGCTCTCTCCTCTGCTCCGCCCGAGTTCCCCCAGACGGAACCAGGAGATGTCTCTGCGATTCAAGCACTGCCGGGCCAGACTCTGGGTTTGCTAATCCCATCATTCCCCGACGGTGATGGAACTTTCCTGTGGGGCGCCTGCTCAGCAATCCAGTGTTTGGGTGTGATGGCCGCACCCCAAAGCCCTCGGTTGTAGCGATCTTCGTCAGTTGGTGACTGGTGTTCTGACAAACTGCAGTGATGCGGACGCTGAGCAGATCTGTCGTGGTGAAGAGGGAGCTGAGCCAGAAAGCCAGGCTCTCGATTTACCGGTCGATCTACGTCCCAATCCTCACCTATGGTCATGAGCTTTGGGTGATGACCGAAAGAACGAGATCGCGGATACAAACGGCCGAAATGAGTTTCCTCCGTAGGGTGGCCGGGCTCAGCCTTAGAGATAGGGTGAGGAGCTCGGACATTCGGGAGGGACTCGGAGTAGAACCGCTGCTCCTCCAGATCGAAAGGAGTCAGTTGAGGTGGTTTGGGCATCTGGTCAGGATGCCTCCTGGACGCCTCCCTGGGGAGGTGTTTCGGGCATGTCCTGCCGGCAGGAGGCCCCCGGGTCGACCCAGGACACGTTGGAGAGGTTACATCTCCAATCTGGTCCGGGAACGCCTTGGGGTCCTGCCGGAGGAGCTGGTGGAGGTGGCCGGGGAGAGGACGGTCTGGAGCTCCCTAGTTGGGATGCTGCCCCCGCGACCCGGATCCGGATAAGCGGACGAAGACGAAGTTACTGTAACAGAAATGTATCCAACACGCTGTCGCTTGAGGTGAGCAGGGCAGGTCAGACTTCAGATTTCTCCCCGGACCAGAAACCCCACCAGGGGCAACATTCCTAGGATCAGTAGAGCATCCTGCTCCATCTGGAACCAACACTAAAACAGGGTGGTGGTGGTGTGATGGTGCGGGGCTGCTCCAGGGCCACCTGCTGTAATTGATGAATTCTGCTCTCTAGCAGAACATCCTGAAGGAGCATGTCTGACCTTTGACCTTAAACAGGCCCTTCCTGCTGGAAAACCCTCCAGCACGGCTGAATTGAGACAGATCAGTGAAAAACAATTTAGATGAAACCATGAAAATGAAGATTTGGGTCTCCAAGCTTCAAAGAGGTTCTGATGGTCAACTTTGAAAATCATCAAACTGACTGAAAACAGAGCAGAACATCAAGGAACCATTAAGGAGACTGGAGAAATTTCAGAGTCCAAGGGTCGGGTCCGATTCCTGAGACAGAACCACCTCCAGATCCGGACCTGGGATTATGGTGGACCACTTTCATCAGGTTCTACAGACAGGACAGAACCCTGATGTAGAACCGGTCCGGATGCTGTTCTGGCTTCTCTCCGGTCCACCTAGATGGACCAGAACCAGAGCGGAAATGTGGACAAATGGATCAGAATTCCTGATCTTTGATCGAAAAAATTAACTCCACAGAGGTCCATTCAGACTGGTCCAAACAGGTCCAAAAACCTGGTTCTGGGACGTAACTGGCTTGGACCAGGGTTCTGCTGCCTTCAAGGCAACCCAACCCAACATCTGACCCACATCATGAAGAGCTGGTGGTTCTGGACCGACCTGCTGCAGGTCATCTGTCCCCAGTGGAGGAAAACCGTGAAGAATGGTTCTGGTTCTGCTGGAAACTTTCATCTTCCTTTACAGATCTGAATGTTCAGGAGAACCCTGACGTGGACCTGATCCTAGAGGATCCCGGTCCTGGTTCTGTAGAACTTTCCCACGTAAACATCTTTGATCAATAAACAAAACAGTTTTCTGGTTTTCCATGAAAGTTGAAATTATTCCTGATCAGCTGGAACCAAAACAGCGATGGATTGTGAAATACCCCCCCCCCCCCCCCCCACACACACACACACACACACACACGCGCACGCACACACACACACACCTTGAATCAGAACATCTGGTTTGTGTCCTAGCAGCTGGCAACTCCGGATCTCTTCCCGTAACTGGGAGCAGGAGCGGAGGTTATATAAGAACTCTGGCTGTTGTTCTAACCTGGTCCAGTTTGTGTTCTGGACTCTGATTGGTGTGCGTGAGCTCCTGGATCCCTGTGGGATTAGAACCAGGTCCGCGTCTCCTCCCAGATTAGAACCAGACTACAGGCTTCTCTGAAGACGACGCTGCTGAACGTGAGTCAGATTTCGGCTTTTTAAAGCTGTTGGGTTGAATTTTGCTGCCTTTGTTTCTAAAGTTTTAGATTTCTTACAACACGAAAAACGTCCCAGAATGAAAGAACTTTATAAAAGTAAACATTTCGACTGATCTTGTGTTTATTTATCTGAATAAAACAAGATGAAATTATTCTAACAGAGGAGGTTTTAGGGCTCCTGATGGCTTCACCCTGCAGCTCCATGCTGCTGCTGCAGCTCCTCAGCTGCATATCAGCCGGTCTGGCCTGTTTCTGTGACCGCTACCCCTGGACCTCCTGGTCCATCTGCACCAGAACCTGCAACCACGGCACTCAGAGCAGGACCAGGTGAGGCTGTGTTGGTGCACCGCAGACAGGAATCAGACTCAACACAAAAGCCAGCTGAGGTTTGCTTCTGATAAAACTAAAGGGCCGTTCTGCAGAAAGGATTGAGACTATTCAGAAGAACAAAGAGCTCAGACTGGTCAGATCTGGATTGGAAGATTCAGATTAGATTAGCAAAATCTTGAAAGTACAGTTCATTTATCTGATAATCTGTATCCAGTGGTGGCGCCAGGGGGCGCTAGGGGGCGCTATAGCTACCCCTGGATTAGTCATTGCACCCCTAAGTAAATATTAGATTTTTTTTTATGATTTTATTTTAATTTAACGTGTGGATGTGATAATATTTAACATACAAAACAAAAATAATCAGTAAATTATCACGTAGATAGTAAAAACTTAAACCAAAACAGGAAATTGATGTTAACCTTTGACCTCATTTTCCACCTGCGAATGAGTGAAAGGTAGAGCTAGTGGTAAAATGGATCGGTTTTTGTTGCCCAAATTTCCACGGGTTCAGTCAGAAACAAGTGAATCTTTGGAAGTGATCTCAGACCCACAAAAACCTACGGTTCTATGGCGCGGTATGGGGGCCAAAATTAAGACTACTGCCCAGCAACAGGAGGCTATATAAATTATGAAGCTAACTACCGATCTGATTAATGATAAGCTGGCGCCGGTAACTGAAAGGCTGGCGCTGCTTACTGAGGAATAGCACCTTTACCGACGTTACTACTAGATACGCTAGGGACTAGCAGCCCTCGGCTGGTCATTGACTGGTTCACACACTCCCTCCGCTGTCTATTAGCATGGATAGGCTAGCGTTAGCCTGGACGGGCTGGTGTTAGCATTGGAGAGGCTAGCCATTAGCGTGCCTAGGCTGGCCACTAGCTGGATTTCCTACCCCCTTGACGGACCATTAGCATGGATAGGCTGGCGTTAGCATCGGAGAGGTTAGCCATTAGCGTGCCTAGGCTGGCCATTAGCTGACTAGTGACTCTCTGAGACATGCTAATAGCTTGCCTCTCCGATGCTATTGCCAGTCTATCCATGCTTAAGGTCCGTCAAGGTGATAGGAAATCCAGCTAGTGGCATGCCTAGGCACGCTAATGGGTAGCCTCTCTGATGCTAATGCCAGCCTATCCATGCTAATAGACAGCAGAGGGAGTGTGTGAACCAGTCAATGACCAACCGAGGGCTGCTAGTCCCTAGCGTATTTAGTAATAACACTGCACCGGTAAAGGTGCTATTCCTCAGTAAGCAGCGCCAGCCTCTCAGTTACCGGCGCCAGCTTATCATTAATCAGACCGGTAGTTTGCTTCAGATTTTTTATAGCCTCCTGCTGCTGGGCAGTAGTCTTAATTTTGGCCCCCATACCGCGCCATACAGATCTGGATGAAGAGAGCCAACCCTCAACCGCCGCAGCAGTCGAGGGTTTTGCCGCTGGAAATGCTAACGCTAACGTTAGCTAACCTTGCAACACTATAGATGGTTTTCTGTGTGGCTGTATGCGTTTATGATTTCATGGAAAAGTCAGCGATTGTTCACATGTTTCTGATGTATATTAATGATTGTTTCAGGTGTTGTTGAGGTGTTGTGCGCGCATGTGTATCTGCTAGTGTTGGAGGTGTTTTAGAGAACAATAGGTACGCATGACCACTTCCTTCATAGCACCTGCAGAAAAACGTTTCTGGAGCCGCCACTGTCTGCATCATGGTGTTTTTCTGCTGACTCAACACTTACTCACTTATCAAACTAAACATGACTAAAATATGACTAAAACAAATAAACCTGAACTAAAGTAAAACAACAAGAGGTTAGAGGTTAATCAAGTCCAGGTGGGACCAGTCTACGTCTGTTTAGAGCTGAGAAACGCAGACCAGAAGGTCAAAGCAAAACTGAATCAGAACCTGACCTCAGCATCAGAAAGGTGAGATGGATGTTGTTGTTCTGCTGCAGATGAAGCCAAACCTGTTTTCTCTTTTCAACAGGATCGTTCGTTATGAAGACTACTACTGGCAGAACAGCTGTCAGCAGCTGTGTGACCACCAGGACACCAGAGCCTGTAACCAGCAGGCGTGTCCCATAAACTGTCTGCTGTCAGACTTCAGCTCGTGGTCTGACTGCTCACCCTGCGCCAAGAAGCAGGTAAGGAGCACACCTGCACCGGTGCAGACCAACCAAAACCAGCAGTGGTGTCAGAAACCATCCATCCTCCTCCTCTGTGTCTCTCCAGTTTCGGACCCGGTCTGTCGTGATCCCGTCCCAGTTTGGGGGCTCGAGCTGCAGCGGGGAGCTAACAGAGGATCGTCCCTGTTATCCATCTAAACTTTGCCAATTGCCACCAGTCGACTGCAGAGGCGACTTTAAGTGCGACAACGGTGAGTGGAGTCTCGTGACGGCTGCTGCTTTTTGCCCTGGCAGCAGGTGTACAGAACCCGGTCAGCGCCCCTCCTCTTTCCTGCAGCTGCGCCCAATCTTCTGATCACCACCTGACAGCTCAGGAGAGCTACCAGACGCACAGGAGGGCTCAGATCTGTGCTGGCGCCCCCACCACTCTGGTTGTTTTTATTGGCATTTAAAGTAGAAGAGCTTGAGGAAGCCCTGATGCTTTTCAGCCACGTGCTGTTCAGATGTTTAGAGGAGGAACTCAGATCTGAGCTGATGTCCATCTTTCTGTTACAGCTTAATTTGTTGTCAAAGCAGAAAGAGGACTTCCTCCTCCTGACGCAGCACGCGTGTGCGTTACATTCAGGGGAACCCGCTAACGGGGCGCCGTTGAAGTCAGACAGGCATATTTTGGGTTAATTAGCCTATCATAATGGGAGTTCATTTTTCTGAGTCATGTTTTCGCCATGTTATTGATACATTATAAATGTAATAGACTAAACGTTTAGTTAGCAAGCTAAATACTTCATTTTAGAGTGTAAATGTGTGTTTTACTAATTACATCAGGTTAGACCTGAATAGTTAGTATGTAAAATTAATGTTTAATCTGGAGATAAATACTTAATTCCATCCATCCATCCGTTTTCATCCACTTATCCGGAGTCGGGTCGCGGGGGCAGTATCCTAAGGCGAGAGTCCCAGACTTCCCTCTCCCCAGCCACTTGGGCCAGCTCCTCCGGGGGAATCCCAAGGCGTTCCCTGGCCAGGTGAGACATAGTCCCTCCACCGTGTCCTGGGTCTACCTTTAGGTCTCCTCCCGGTTGGACGTGCCCGGAAAACCTCACCAGGGAGGCGTACAGGAGACATCCTAACTAGAAGCCCAAGCCACCTCAACTGGCTCCTCTTGATGTGGAGGAGCAGCGGGTCTACTCCGAGCCCCTCCTGGATGACCGAGCTTCTCACCCTATCTCTAAGGGAGAGCCCAGCCACTCTTCTGGAAAAACTCATTTTGGCCGCTTGTATCCGTGATCTCGTTCTTTCGGTCACTACCCAAAGCTCATGACCATAGGTGAGGGTAGGAACGTAGATCGACCGGTAAATCGAGAGCTTCGCCTTCTGACTCAGCTCTCTCTTCACCCCGGCAGACCGGTAGAACGCCCGCATCACTGCAGATGCAGCACCAATCCGCCTATCGATCTCACGCTCCAGTTTTCCCTCACTCGTGAACAAGACCCCGAGATACTTAAACTCCTCCACTTGGGGCAGGACCTCATCCCTGACCCGGAGAAGGCATTCTACCCTTTTCCGACTCAAGACCATGGTCTCAGATTTAGAGGAGCTGATTCTCATCCCAGCTGCTTCACACTCGGCTGCGAACCGCTCCAGCGAAAGCTGAAATAATTAGTTTACAAACAAATTTTTTTGCTTCAAATTAAATATTTATTTTCCAAAATAAACATTTAGATCCCAGCTAAATGTTCATTGTGAGGCTGAACTAAATTTTAAAAATAGCTACATTTTACAAACTAAATGTTTAGCTCCAAGTTTAATATTTAGCTTGATAACTAAATAATTAGTATGAAACTTTAACATCTATAAAGGTATAAAAAACATGAAAATATAACTCATTTTTCCCCTTGTGATAGGCTAAATAACCCAAGTATTGATGCTAAGTTGTGGCTGTTTGGCTTTACAAATGGCGCCCCGTACTCGTTTAGCTAAAGCATCTGCGGAAAGCGAGTGTCCAGGCTGTGTGTGTTGTAGCGTTGAGCTCCGTGTGTGTGGAAAGCAGCTCAGAGCTTCATCCCTTTTAGTTTTCATTTTAGCAACTTAGCGTCATTTCAGTTCAGTTAAATAGTTTTCTCTCTAAAATAATGCTTTGCTTAAAGGGACATTATGGAAGTTTGACAGCCAAAACATGTATAGAAATAATAAATGTCTTCTTCATACATTCTTCATGCCCTGGTCCTGTAGAATGAGCCCTGGCATTTTTACTGTGATTGCCTGTTTTGCTGTAAAATCACAGAAAAAGAGAGATGCTCGGGTCGAGCAGGCTGCTTCATGCGCGTTCACGCTCAGGCATCGCCCGTAGCATTTGCTATCCGTAGCTTTAGCAGCAGAGAGAGAGGCAGTGCCACTTTGTCGCTGTTCCTAACGCCTAGTGACAAAGCTAGCTACATTTCTGAGGACCCTTAGCTACTTTCTGTAGAACTTTCTTCTAGATATTTCCTGCAAATTAGCAACAAAATAGCCATTTTCACTCCCAACCGTTCTTTGGTTTGACGTTGTTTCAGCTGTCATCAAGGATATAAATGTTACAGATACAAGATATATCACTTGTGCTTTAGCTCACCTAGTAAGACATCGGACTCTCAGGCAGAAGACCCTGGTTCGATTCTGGATGTGAACATAGTTTATTTAGAGTTTCTTTTTACATTAATGGTATATTTTTTTACAGTAAGATGCCCAAATTTTTAATTTGAGACTCGCCGAACGGCATTGAATTCACAGATAAAAAAGATGTGGGTTCAACTTTCATTTTGGAACAATTTTTCAAGCAAGGGAAGGGAATGATCTGAGCATGCAGGAGGACTGACCCATCATAAACCTTTGTCGGCTGTGCTGAAGAGAAAGGTACAGAACCACATTATTTAATTAATTAGCTGCGCGTTCTCCTGTCCTCTGTCCTCCGGGACACACACACACACACACACACACACACACACACACACACACACACACACACACACACACACACACACACACATACACACACACACACACACACACACACACACACACACACACACACACACACACACACACACACACACACACGGGACTGTCTCAGCTGTTACTTTTGTTAAGGAGTGTGCACGTACAGCATGCGCGCCTCATGCACGAGCCTACTATTGAAGCTGCCCTTAAGCTTTTTGCCTGAGGGGGGCTTTCGCGAGCATAAAAATTCAAAAGTCCGTAAAGTCCCTTTAACCATCTTGCACATGCCTTTGTTTATGTTAGCTCCTCCTGAGAGGAGGAAATGTTTACACCGGTCATGCAGCAACAAAGATGTCTGACAGCCTTCCTCCTGCTGCAGGACGCTGCATCAACTCCACGCTAACGTGCAACCGACAGAACGACTGTGGAGATAACTCTGATGAGAGGGACTGTGGTAGCTTCTCTATCGTCTGTCCTGCAGACAAACGAGTGGCCCCCGGGGCCGACCTGGTGGGAAACGGGTAAGAAAAGAACCACCTGACAGCAGCTTAGTGACATGTGGCGTGTTTATGGCAGTAGACGTGTGTGCTGACGTGTTTTCCTTCTCTTTTTCATGAGTGGAGAAACACATCAGGGTCCTTGGCTGACTTAAACAGGGGGACATCTAAATGATGGGGTGTTTGAACCCAAACACATTAGATACATGAATGGAGTATGTTTTTACAGGACTGAATATTCATTCAGAATATTTTTCCTATCCTGATTTGATATGAAAGGTCATCAAAGAGCCCTGAAGTTTATCGGGACCACGTGGAAGCATCCATGAGATGTCTCCGTCGACTCTGCAAGTCGTCGCTTAGAATTCTGGTTCAGAAAGATTTTTACAAATCTCCGGATGTTTCTGATTGTGTATTCTTACACTTCGCTAAAGGGGAAACAATATTTTGTCATGATTTGTTGGAAATGGACCCAAAGTGCAGCTAATCACCTGGAAGCAGGCGGGTGGAGGGATGTGAGACCAGGATGACGGCAGCTCCAACGGGAGGATATGACCGCGTGTGACAAAACCGTGGGATGATTAGAAATGGTAAACGGCCTGCGCTTGTATAGCGCCTTCTTAGGGTTCTATAGCCCCCCCCCCCCCCCCCCCCCCCCCAGGTGCTTCACAACACAATCATTCACTCATTCACACACTGGTGGTGATGAGCTACGATGTAGCCACAGCTGCCCTGGGGCGCACTGACAGAGGCGAGGCTGCCGAACACTGGCGCCACCGGTCCCTCCGACCACCACCAGCAGGGAAGGTGGGTTAAGTGTCTTGCCCAAGGACACAACAGCAGCATTCTCTGGCAGGAACTGGGTTCAAACCTACAACCTTCTGAGGACAACCTGCTCTACCTTCTGAGCTGCTGCTGCTACGTTTCACTTTGCGTCCGTCAGAGCTCCCAGGCTCACGAACCATCTCAGTCTTCTAAAGCGACTCGTGAACGTCGTCGTCGTCTTCCTCCGCTTATCCGGGTCCGGGTCGCGGGGGCAGCATCCCAACTAGGGAGCTCAGACCGTCCTCTACCCGGCCACCTCCACCAGCTCCTCCGGCAGGACCCCAAGGCGTTCCCAGACCAGAATGGAGATGTAACCTCTCCAACGTGTCCTGGGTCGACCCGGGGGCCTCCTGCCGGCAGGACATGCCCGAAACACCTCCACGGGAAGGCGTCCAGGAGGCATCCTGTCCAGATGCCCAAACCACCTCAACTGACTCCTTTCGATCCGGAGGAGCAGCGACTCATGAACCTGGATCCCAACCCACGGTCAGGGCTGAAGGCCTTTAGACAAGCAGAGTCCAGCCGTTTAGATCAGGGTTGACCTTTAGCTGAAGGATTTTCTCTCTCTTCATTTTAATCCAACGCTAACCACTGATGTTTGCTAGCTCCCGTGGGGGGTTCTGAAGCTTCCTCTCCTCGGATCGGTGTTTGTAGGTTTGACGCTCTGGCAGAAGAGCCGCGGGGGGCCGTGCTGGACAACATGTTCATGGGAGGAAGCTGCATCATCAGGAGACCTGAGAGCACGTTGCTCTACCATCGAGTTCCTCACAACTTCAAGAGCCTGGACATAAAGGTGGGAACAGTGGCGGTCCAGCTGCTGATGATGTCACAATTACTGTTGATGCAGACTGGAGTTTTACTGGTTGTCCAGGTTGGAGTGGTGGAGGACTTCGGCTCTGAACCACAGCCTCTGATCTCAGAGCACATCACCCTGAAGAGGTCCACTTCATCTACTCAAGGCAGCAAACCAGATGGTGGCTTTCTTTTTCTCCTGCTGTTTTTCCACGGGTCTTCCCAGTCCGGAGTCTCCTCCAACTCTGCTGCGTTTGAAGCTTCCAAGAAAAAGGTGGTTATTACAGTATTTTCAGTTGTAACGTGTAAGTTTAGTTTACAAACAGCATCCATGGAGGATATCTGAAATGTCCTGGAACATCACGAGGGTTCTCGGCTTCCTCATGAGACTCCGTGAGTCCCGGTGTGACCGGTTCAGATAGAAAACGTCTCTTAAAAGAGTTGGTTTTCAACAGTTCAGCTGCCTCTGTTTCACCAGCTCTCACAGCCCAGTGGAGTACTGGTTTTTAGCTTGAGATGTTGAGTTTAGCAACCCTCACCTCAACAAACACCTCTTATCCCATCACCTCCCTGTTATCCCGTCACCTCCCTGTTATCCCATCACCTCCCTGTTATCACGTCACATCCCTGATATCCCGTCACCTCCCTGTTATCCCATCACCTCCCTGATATCCCGTCACCTCCCTGATATCCCGTCACCTCCCTGATATCCAGTCACCTCCCTGTTATCCCATCACCTCCCTGTTATCCCATCACCTCCCTGTTATCCCGTCCTGTCCCTGATATCCCGTCATCTCCCTGATATCCCGTCATGTCCCTGATATCCCGTCACCTCCCTGATATCCCGTCATCTCCCTGTTATCCCGTCACCTCCCTGTTATCCCATCACCTCCCTGTTATCCCGTCATGTCCCTGATATCCCGTCACCTACCTGTTATCCCGTCACCTCCCTGTTATCCCGTCATGTTCCTGATATCCCGTCACGTCCCTCTTATCCCATCACCTCCCTCTTATCCCGTCACCTCCCTGTTATCCCGTCACCTACCTGTTATCCCGTCACCTCCCTGTTATCCCGTCACGTTCCTGATATCCCGTCACGTCCCTCTTATCCCATCACCTCCCTGTTATCCCGTCACGTCCCTGATATCCCGTCACCTACCTGTTATCCCGTCAACTCCCTGTTATCCCGTCATGTTCCTGATATCCCGTCACGTCCCTCTTATCGCATCATCTCCCTCTTATCCCGTCACGTCCCTCTTATCCCATCACCTCCCTCTTATCCCGTCACCTCCCTGTTATCCCATCACCTCCCTGTTATCCCGTCACCTACCTGTTATCCCGTCACGTTCCTGATATCCCGTCACGTCCCTCTTATCCCATCACCTCCCTCTTATCCCGTCACCTCCCTGTTATCCCATCACCTCCCTGTTATCCCGTCACGTCCCTGTTATCCCGTCACCTCCCTGTTATCCCGTCACCTACCTGTTATCCCGTCACCTCCCTGTTATCCCATCCCCTCCCTGTTATCCCGTCACGTCCCTCTTATCCCATCACCTCCCCGCATAACGTGATCACATCAGGATAATGGGACGTTCCAGTCTGCTGTTCGAACTTTGTCTCAAATGTCCTCGGATTGAAGGTCTGTAGCAGAGTCCTCAGAATACACACACACACGCACACGCACACGCACACACGCACACACGCACACACGCACGCACACACGCACACACACACGCACACACGCACACACACACGCACACACGCACACACACACGCACACACGCACACACGCACACACACACGCACACACGCACACACACACGCACACACGCACACACACGCACACACACACACAATTCAATTCAAGTTTATTTGTATGATAAATGATCCGCACTTGTATAGCGCCTCTCAGAGTAAGGACTCCAAAGCACTTTATCATTCATCCATTCACACACACATTCACACACTGATGGGGATGAGCTACGATGTAGCTGCCCTGGGGCGCACTGACAGAGGAGGAGCTGCAATCTCAGGCGCCACCGGTCCCTCCGACCACCACCAGCAGGCAAGGTGGGTGAAGTGTCTTGCCCAAGGACACAACAGCAGAATTCTCTGTCCGGACCCGGGATCGAACCTGCAACCTTCCGATTACTGGCCAACCCACTCAACCTGTTGAGCTACTGCTGCCCCAGAAGCACCAAATCACGACAAGTGTCGTCTCAAGGACCTTCACACAGTAAACAATACAGGTCAGGTCGTTAAACCAATCAGTAACAAGTTTCCTATATAAGGAACCCAGCAGGTTGCATTGAGTCACTGACTAGTGTCAGAGTCTTTACTGCAATCCTCATACTAAGCAAGCATGCAGCGACAGTGGAGAGGAAAACTCCCTTTTAACAGGAAGAAACCTCCAGAGGATCCTGGCTCAGTATAAGCAGCACACACACACACACACACACACACACACACACACACACACACACACACACACACACACACACACACACAGCTCTCCTTTAATTTGCTTTCTTCATTCTGCTTTCAGGACTCGAAGTTTTTCCGAGTGCATCAACTTCTTCCCGTGTCGACTTTCACGGTGAAGGATCCTCAGGATCTCGTCCTCTCGCTGCCTTTCCTCCAGTTCCTCCATGCGCTTCCACTCGATTACAACTACGCCCTCTACAGGGAGATTTTCCAGCGCTTTGGCACACACTATTACAGTTCAGGCCAGCTGGGTGGGAACTATGACCTGCTTTACCAGTACAGCAGGCAGGAGCTCACCACTGCTGGTAAAACAGTGCCCCCTAGTGTCTAAAGCTCAGATGGAGGACATAATACTGGAACAAGCTGTACATTTGTGATGGCTAATGTGTAAAGATGTTAACTCTCTGAAATACAGATTTTAAGTTTCAGCCCTTGAGTGAAATCTGAGACTATTAAATCATCTTGAAGGTTTAGTCGGAACATCTGGACTTGTCTTCTCATCCCTAAAAACACAAGAAAAGTCCGATTGTCCAACTAAAGACCATGATGACTCAAATCTACACAAACGGGCTTTAAAATCTTCTTCTTCTTCTTAACATTGTTAACATTTCTTTTGTTTATGTCTTTCTTTCCTTTAGACTCTTTAGAAATGTTTACCATGACTTCCCACAGACCCTCGAAGCTCACAGACTCGTTAGGTTCTGTTTCGTCTCTGAGACCTGTGGACTTTGTCCTTTTTGCAGGAGAAACGGATGAAAACACTCAAGGTTGCCTGAGCAAAGAGACCTTCTTCACTGTCCTCCTCTACAGCCAATACAGCAGCGCCACCCGCTGCACCAATACCAGAGTCACGGAGAAATATCAAGGTTACACCTGAAGTCCCCTCTGAATGATCCTGCATCAGCTCCCGTCTTTGGTTGTGTCCCGAACGTGTTCCCTCTCTCCTCCAGGCTCGTACATCCAGGCGTCGGAGAAGTCTTTCTCCATGGTGAGAGGAGGTCGAGCCAGAGAGGCGGCAGCTCTGGCCTGGGAGAGAGAAGGCTCTGCTCCGGACAAAACGGCCTTCAAGGACTGGGCCAAGTCTGTGCTGGAGAACCCGGCTGTCGTGGATTACAAGGTGAGCTCCAGAGATCCTTCTTCGTCTGCACGGTGATTGATTAAGCTGGTGAACCTGGTTTTGCTTGGAGGTCTAATGATAATCAGAGTCCGAGTCAACTCACACAGATTCATGGAGAATTAGCTAACGGCTAACCAGAGCTGGGATCGTTCAGCAGAGGGTATAAAAGTGCTCTCAGAGGTGATGCTTCTCAGATCGGATCATCCTTCCAACAGAAAACTGGGAAACCCAACAGGCCGCGACCTCCAGATGAACATCAGCAGTCGCAAATTTTCATGGAAAATTCTAGAGTTGAACAAAAACAGCCACTTATCGTGCTGATTACATTCCTTCTGTTGCCGTCTAAAACAAACGCGCAGCGGTTTGAAAACACTTTTGTTTGTTTTCGATCACGTTTCCTCATTCTGTCGGCTTCTTTTGTTGTTTTCAACGAGGAGAACAACTTTCAGGAGCCGATCCGCACACGTTCCAGGTAAACGGCCGCCCGTGCGGAAGCTGCATCCGTTGTTCCACACTCGGTGTAACGCCTGATTCATGCTTCTCCGTCTGCGTCAGCGCGGAGACACGCAACGTCCTTGCGGGCTTGCCGGAGAGCTCCGCAAGGACATACGGAGTGGAGCTCTCTTTTCTAAACATCCGTCAGTCGAGACGGACTACGCAAGCTTGTGATTGGTCAAGACGCCGCTGTGGTTTACAGCGCCGCCATTGCAAAAACATAAAGAGAGCCGAGGATAACTAGTGGCAGACACGGAGAAGCTTGAAGAGTACCTCGCGAAAAAACTCTAAAATATGAACGTTTCATTCCCCCGTGACTGGAGAAGTGAAAAGATGCACAGCAAGCATTTTATTTGTGGGCGGAAATGACAGGAAACGTGGGTTTAGAGGTGGCGAGCGCTTGAAGAGGTGGAGGAGGATGAGAGACAAATTTGCCCGTGTTAAAAAGTCTCTTATATACAAAAAACACAATATAAACATACTATCTTGGACCGATACATGACAGGATACCACAGAACAGCGCTACGCCCTCTGGTGTCCTGGAGGGGAATTGCTTTGCAACACTCTCCAGGAGACGGAGAAGTATGAGAGCAAAACGCTTCCGTCAATCCGTGCGTGTCTGTCCCTTGCGGAGCTGAAGGAGAAGCATAAACCAGGCTTAAAGGATAAAATCGCTCCGAACTTTTTCTGCTGCAGGCGACAAAAACATCCCACAGGAGTTTGGAGTGAACGCATCACCTCATCACATCTCTTTAATTATGTTTAATGGTGGTTCTACCGTTTGAATAATATTGCTGAATTACATTTTTCTTTGTTGCGTGTGCATCTGTCCAGCTGCTTCCCATCACGGATTTAGTCCGGGGGATTCCCTGCGCCGTGACGAAGAGGAGACACCTGAGGAAGGCCCTGCTGCAGTACCTGGAGGAGTTTGATACCTGCAAGTGTGCTCCGTGTCCAAACAACGCCAGGCCCGTTCTGTCTGGCACCGAGTGCAAGTGCGTTTGTCAGACCGGCACCTTTGGTACCAACTGTGAGAACCGGGCCCCGGACTTCACATCAGGTGTTTTGTTTCTGTTCTTCCTCTGAAGCAATCAGAAATCCTCTCATCGCCCCCGTAATCTGATCTCTGATCTAAAAGGAAAACCTAACTGGAAACACGATTGAATCCCCACAGAGGAAGTGGATGGTTACTGGAGCTGCTGGGGGCCATGGAGTCGCTGTGGGGGCTCCATGAGGAGACATCGAACCAGACGATGTGACAATCCGCCCCCCCTCAAAGGAGGCCGGGCTTGTGACGGCCCAGACAGGCTGGAGGAATCGTGTCACGTCTCCCTGTTTGAAAAGTCAGTTTTTACTCAAACAGACGTAAACCTTAAAGGCTGCAGCAGGTCTTCCTGCTGGATTTGATTCTCTGGGTCTCGTTTCTGATGCAGACAGGACTCCTGCGACAACGACGATGATTTTACGATCGGCTGGAGAGACGAGCTTCCACCTGGAGTTCAGGGCTGTCTGAGGCCTCAGAGGCTGGCCAACAGCTTCCTCAGGGTGAAAACAAACACACTCGTGTTCCTCTGCTGAAAGATCTCAAACGGCTTCCTCAAAGGCCGGGTCAGCGCCGTGTTTTAGTCAAGTCAACTTTATTTATAAAGCACTTTACAACTTTATAAAAGCAGACCAAAGTGCTTAACAAGCCAAAAAGAAAAGAAGTTCCCTAAAGATTCTAAAAACGAGACAAAAAGTTCATCACAAAGTAAAAGCATGATAAAAACAAACATTTCAAACTGACATAAAAGCTACTAAAAACAGATGCATCCTCAAACTGAATTAAAAGCAACTGTTACGTCCCCGACAGGAGATGTTGGAATGTGAAGGAGGGGGTAACATCAGAAATGTGACAGTGGATTTAAAAATGGTTTCATTTGTAATAAAAGGTTCTAAAAATGAGCAAACAGATGGCGAGCATTAAAAAGATAATGCAAAATGAACAAAACCCTCAAAAAAAAAAAGGTTAACATTACAAGACGAATTATCAACTATTAAAACACCTGGTTAAAACTTATTGTAAACGTTTTACCGTAAGGAAGGCGTTTAAAAACCGGAGTCAATAAAATTGCAACAAAGTTGACCTTTAACACAAACATCACAAGATCCCACTGGATCATCCAGAAGCTCATCACTAACCCCTCCTTTCCACCGGAGCCGTCAGCAGCACGTTACTGCAGCAGCACGTCTTGCTCCTTGGCCCTTCCCACGAGACGCGAAGCAGCAGGGGAGCAGCTGTCACCGACCCATGGACGTAATTTTCACTTTAGAAGTGGGGGGGACACAGGCTGGGGGGGGGGGGTATCTTTACAGTATTCTCTAATGGAAAACAGGCTTCAACACCAACGGTTGTTTTCTGCTTGGTCCTAGAGCTCAACCAGTGTCAATTTAATATAAATAATATTGTTTTTGGATAACAAAAAGTGCAGGGGTCATAACTTGACTTTGGAAAAAGTGGGGGGGACATGTCCCCCCTGTCCCCCCCCAAAATTACGTCCATGCACCGACCGATCACGAAGTCCCACGAGTGACTTTGTCAGTAAACACAACAACAAGCAGGAGAAAACTACAACATGGTTTGTGTTTTATGTTCTGTCCGTTTTATAATCGCCAATACGGACCTGAAAAACAAAGGAGACCGCTAGCTAGGTGATAACTTCTCACGGGGCCGCACAGTTAGTAACCTTTTTTTTAAATTAGAGCAACCGGAAGGCAGTACGTTCTTTATTCTGAAAATCTCAGGAGCTTTCCACGTTTCCACGTCCTATTTCCTGTCTTTCCTTCCCCAAAAATGTCAAACTTGACCCGTTTCAGAGGCGTCGCGCGTAGAAAGTAGAGCCGGCGCGTAAAGGCCGCGACATGCTGCTCCTGAGACACGGCCGACTCGCGCTGCTGACCGCTCCGGTGGAAAAGGTTCTGTTGACCACAGCGGTTCCTATCAGCAGCTATGATGTGCTGCTGATGGCTCCGTGGGAAAGAAGGGGTTACCCCGGCTTTCCACAGGAGCCGTCAGCAGCGCGAGTCAGCCGCGTCTCAGGAGCAGCATGTCGCGGCCTTTACGCGCCGGTTCTATTTTCTACGGGGTTGCAATCGTCAAGGCGTGATGTAATAAACGCGTGAATCACCGTCTCAAAGTCATGACTTGAGAGCAGACGCTTAACCTCGGCGAGCCTCCTTAACTGATAAAAACTGGCTTTGGTGACGGCGCTGATTTGCTTTTCCAGAAGCAGATCACTGTCAAGCCGGACTCCCAGACTGGTCGCTGCAGGTTTCAAAAATAGGGCCAGTGGACCAAGGTCAGCAGAACACGGCCCACTGGACACACCAGGACTAAAAAGCATGACCTGAATGTAAAACATTTGCAGACATCCAGACACCAGGGTTTTAGATGACATCACCGTAAACATCTTAGAGCTCACAGTGTCGAGAGGATGACTCAGATTTACAAATGAAAACAAACTAATCAGTCAGGCGTAGGTGGCAGTGAGGCAGCACGATGAATCAGAGGGGAGTGGGCGAGGAGTGGACAGTAGAGGGGGGTCAGTGTCTCTCTACCTGCTGGGCGTCTCCAGTGGGAAGAACAAAGTGTTAAAAACTGCTTAGTGTTGCTTTAACGGGGTCAGAAAGCTGCTCGCAGGTAAAGGAAACGTGGGTTTGGTTGGTGACTTTTTGTTGTAAAAATAAAATTACGTAATTTATCTGAAGCCTGGTTAGTTTTCAGGTCTCAGGACAGCACCTTCAGATGCCTGACGTCAAACCAGACAGGAAACGCATCAGGATTCCTTCCAAAACGCATCAGACGTCTGACTGAAACGGTCTCAGATGTCAGAGAGAAGCAGCCTGCAGGGGGCGCTGTGGTGGAGTCACAGCCCAGCTGATGTCCAAATATGGCATCAGTGCGTGCCAGAGGCACAACTAAGTTTAACTAGCTCCCCTGTTCTCTGTGCTTTTGCTACAGGTCAGGGTCGGGGTCGGGGGTCAGGGTTGGGGCTGGTCGTTGTTGAAGTATTTGGACGACAACTTGGCGCGTTTCTCTTCGTGGTTGTGCGATTCTTTCCCACAGACATTTGTGACAAATGCAGCGATTTAAATAAATAATAAAAGAAACCTGCCAACAGCGCCACCTGCAGGAAGTTTCTCTCAGCGCCGTGGTTGTGCCGGCCGTGTTTCTGGATGAGACCTGCTGCGTTCTCCTCTCTGGTCTGACATGCTGACGCTGCTAGCGGAGGATACTTCTACAGTTATTTAAATCTGTAGTTTTTAAACTAGGATGACGGCACGTCTAGTATGTTCTAGCTCTAAGTCAGCCAAACTGAGGTACACAGTTTTTGTAGTCGTTCTCTTGAGGTCAGTCAGCTGTGGCGGCCATCTTTAATCAGGTAGACTCCTGAAGTAAATGAGTTTTATCCAGTTCATCCAGCACTTCCTGTCTGAGAGCCTCGAG